AAAAAATCAAAACTTAGATACTCAAATAAAAATATTTGTAGCCTGAACACTCAAACAGAATAAAATAAAAGTTAGAGACCCAAATTGCAAATTTGTTTTTCGTAATAATATATCCTATTGTGTTGGTAAAATATGAGCTGTATTAACATCAATTTTTTGGATTTTATCGTAAGAGTATACGAAAGATTTTCTATCAAACTTCTATGAAGGAAAGCAACCTTTTACTAACTGATTGAAATCAATAGCTTAGGTTTCATGATTCATCAGTATGTTGGGCCATGTTATTAAGAAAGTGATAGAGCCCACTGCCCACCACTGTGGAAACATTAGAGGAGAGAAGCCTAGTCGGGTAATCCCATCGAAAATCATTCTTCAGAAAATAATAATAATAAATAAGAAGAAAAAGAAAAGAAAATCAGGTTGGAAATTAAATGCACATAATTGGACTTTAATACCTAGGCGGCTAAATAGACAATTTGGACTGGATTGAATTTATAAGGTTTACAATTCAGTTATTATATTTTATTTTTAATTTTTTTTAATAGGTTTAATGGTTGCAAAGATCCCTCTAGTTTTGGTTTTTTTTTTTTTTTTTTTTTTTTCTTTTTTCCATCTTTATTGTTTTTCTTTTAATTTTTCTTTTCATTTTAGCTTCATCTTTTTAAATTTGATTTTGTTTTTTAATCTCGTTCCTCTATTAATTTTTGAGCTCACAGTATTAAATCTGGCCGGTAATTTCACAATTTGCAACAAGTGACAATTTGCTGTTTTATTTATTTATGTATTGTCTTAAACTTGTCCATTTAGTCTTTTTTCTTAACAAATTTAAATTTGAAAATAAAAAACAAATATGAAAAATAAAAGTAAAGATATACTCGATCATTCTCTTTAAAAACTAAAAAAAATAAAGATAAAAATATTTTTTTATTCAAAATATCCTTTATGGGTTTAAATTATCTTTATGATAGTAAACAAATTTGAAATATAAAATGAAATATTTATACTAGTTTTTTATATGTGAAGAGAGTTTAAAATTTTAAAATTTTGAATAGTATTAAAAAATTATATATTTTAGTACCCAAAAAAATTTATTATAATTTACTTATTTTAATTATATAAATTTTTTAATTTGACGCGAAAGTAAAAATATAAGTTTTGTTAAGATTGAATATTAATTTTGCTGCAAATTTTAGATGTTTTTAGAAAAGGATTAAAGGTTTAGAATATCCCTTTACTATTTCAAATGTATTAATCGAGTCCTTTTATTAAATTTTTCAACCATCGTGTCTCTTTATTTTTAATTGCGTCTATATTTAATACTTCGACTATTTTTTCAAATAAAAAAAATAAAAATTATAAAACAAAAAATGTCAAAAGTTGTTAAAAGAATAAAGGGATGGGATTAAGATGAAAAACACATACCACAATCATGTAGAGTAACCGTGTAGTTTAATATTGTTAACCTGAAACTTTTTACAAAGAAATAAGATTAAAAAAAAACCTAAAATAAAATGATGAATTTAAGAAAAATAAATAAATAAATAGGATAAAGACGAAAAAAAATATTCCTACAACCATTATTATTTATTAATGTAAGCTGGAATTGCAAATGAGGTTTAATATGAAACATCACCACTAATTGCAATTAAGAATGGCACAGAACTACAATCTCCTTAATCTTTGATTAGGTTCTCGAGATAGTCAGCCATGCACCTAGTCAATATTCATCAATATATTGGTTGGATTATTGATAAGATTTTCAGGTAAGATTTCTTATCGACAAAGATATGACGTAAAAAAAAAAAAAAAAAGAAAAAAAATATATATATATATATATATATATATATATATATATATATATATATATATATAATAAAATGCGACGGATCAAGTGATGACTCATTGAGAACTGTCTTCTTTGATGAATTGATGGATGTACTGTAATGCTTGCCTTTTCTAAATTACAAACTTGACGACATCACAATAATTGAAATAAGATTTGAAACTTCAAAGTTGAACCTCAAACAGAGGTAATTAGGGTGAGATTAAAAGTAAACAAATTTCCTATAAAAAAATCAAGGAAAAAAACAAAAAATAATTCAAAATGTAAGGATTAAAGTGTCAAAGTGGGTTCCAGTTAAAATCCTAAACGATGTAGATTTTTTAATAATAATAAAACCAATCTGTTCAAGGCCGAATCAATGCTCAAAGCTAGGGTCAGGTGAACTTTTTGACTGCATTTCCCATTTTGCATGCATATAATATGTAGGAAAATAAGGAAGCAAGTTTGGCAATGGTTAAGTTCTTGGTCTGCCCACCACTTCTTGTTTAAAAGAATAACGTCAAAAAGTTTGATAATCTAGATTTTTCCTTCAAACTTCAAATAAACGTGCGTTCTCCTATACCTATTCATATTCATATGTTAGGTTTAAAATAAAGCAATTGTTGAACAATTATTTAGTACAAAGAGTTAGAGCAATGCTATTATTATATAATTGTGTGACACATTTTATTTATTAAAAATATAAATTATAAAATTTATAAAATTACTAATAAGATCCACTTATTTAATGTCTGAAATATACATCCCATAATTGATATTTTTTCCATTAGTGAATCTGTAAAACAGTTATTTAAAAATAATATTATTTTAATATAAAAAACATAATTTCTTTATTCATGCCAAATTCTCCTATATATAGACCGCAATAATTATTAATCCAACACAAATGTGGACTGCAAAACACAAAATCAAGCAAATTAATACTTTCTTTAATATTAAACAATCATAATAACGCTGGCCTCTTTTATGTCTCATCAACTCTGAAGAATTTTTCTTCGATAAAAATACCAATACTACATTTTAAGTAGTTTTATTTGCATCATACATGATGGGTTGGGGCTAATGAAATATCTGACTTGACCAACTGCCCTTTTAAAGGTCAGAGTATTTTTAGACGATGTTTGTACTTATTAAGGGTAATTTTTAGCAATATTTTCTTCTTTCTTATCTCTCTCAAAATTAATTAAACACCTCTTAAATCCTAATTTAGGTTATTGTCCGCTACTTTTAGATAGTAGCAACCCTTTTTTATTGATTGTTTTTCTTGTTTTCTTTTATATAATGTGATTTTTCTTGTTTTTTTTTTTTTTTTAAAAAATCTACCAATAGGATCTGATCCTTTCAAGTCTAATTTGTATGTATGATTTTTTCTGTAAATGAAATTAAGTCTTTTTTTTAAAATAAAATTGTTGAGATTTTATCTTATTATTTGAAAGGGATTTGACATTTATAGGTTGAGGTGTACAGTTAAAATTTTCTATCAATAGAGTCTCATATTACGGTCTATTTTTCCCTAGATTTATGGTAGTAAAAGATTCATCTACATACGTGATTTGAAGAAAAAAAGTTATGTTTTCAAAAACTCAAGTTTGAAAAGTTGTGATATCTCTATTTTTTTTGTCAATAAAAGGACCAAATGTTGTTTAAAAGACAATAATTCACCAAGCCTTTAAAGATTTTTTATAGGTTTTTTTTCTTCTTGTATTAGATGTTAAGAAATCAAGCAATTTGTTTTATAAACTTAATTGATGTTAATAAAATTACAGTTTTCTCAATAAATAAATAAAATAAAATCTATCTTTTAAGCACTAAAATCCATCCATTTGCATACATATTATAGTTCATTATATATATATATATATATATATATATAATGAGTTTAAATCTAAATGATAATACAAGAAGTAAACTTAACGTATTAACCAAACCTCCAACAAGGTTGGCGTCTCTTAATTAATTGTTGCGTGCTTATTTCTCTCATCTTTTAATTGTATGGTGCATGTCTTGTCAGAATCAGATGGCTTGAAATTACAATGCACTAATTGTTACGTTTTAGATGACATCACTAACTGAAGTTATGATGATGGAAACTGATTGCATAATTGAATTGATTTCTTCTGGACTTCTTAATATTCAAGTAAATATTGCACTGTTAATTAGAAACGTGGAAACAGTAAGACCCATGTGACACTAATACTAATCAAACAAAAGCCATGAAATGTGGAATATAGGAGATTCATGCCGCGTTTTTCTAACAACCGCGTCCAACTTGATCATCAGTCGCTTGATATTTTCATCCCTTCACAAAATCATATGATTTGATTTGTTTAAACTTTACAGAAGTGGTCTACTGATTAAGAAAGTTTACTTTATATTTGAATTTTTTAATTATTTTTATTGATTTTTTTTTACTCAGTTTTCACTTAATTAAAGTCTTTTATTTTTCGATTTTTTTTTTAAAATTTTTCATTATAACGTTATCAATTAACAATTAAAATATAGTATTGTAAAATAAAACATCGATCGATCATGTATCGGACATTAAAACAGAAAGTTTGAAATAAAAAATTTTAAAGATTGAAATAAAAAATTTTAAAGAACAAAAACTTGTAATCAAATCAATAAAATAAAAAATTTTAATTAAAAAAAATTTAAAAATACACTTTACGAGTAAACCCTTCAACGATTTCTTGAGTTTGGACATGAGAACTAATATTGAAACACCAACATATATATACAGGGGAGGATTTTTTTCTTAATTAGAGGATGCCCTTTTATGATGGAAAAATACATGATTTAGTTTGTTTCCTAAATTAACCAATTGAAAAAGTTCAAACATCATCACGTGCTAGTGCAAGAAAAGTTCCATCAACATTCAAATAATTGGTTTTTGTTTCTTGAATTGGTACAAGCAAATAGACAATAACTTAATTCCAAGTTCTTACAAATGATGGAAGAAGAAACTCCACCATATGTGATTGGGATTGTATTCTAAATAGACATAGGCAATGCCTTGAAAACAAATTAAAAGCAAAGGGTAAAATGCTGTACCATCTGATTCAAATTGCCCTGTTCTTTGTGTTTCCTACAACTTGTGATTGAATTAGTTGACACTTATTTTAGATGCAATTGGGACCAATTTTGGACAGTCATCAATTCAACATTCATTACATGGTCCAGGAGACTTTAAGGATTCAACTTGATTCTTGCCACTGGGACCTCTTGTCCTAATGAAAAGTCTGTATTCATCAAATGTCATCGGTTGGTAGAGAGCCGGCCGGTCCTCGGTGACAAGTTCCTTGCATGGTTCAATCAGCAAGTCACTCTTGGGGTTATAGAAAAAGGCAAGAGAGACCCTATCTCTATTAGAATTCACAATAACCCTGTGTTCCACACTCTGATAGATGGCGTTGCTCAGTACCTACAGAGACATTAAAAATATTAATTAATTTTCTATTAGTACCCATAATAATATGATCATTAGAAGAATTAAGGGCAGGTATTAATCAAAATGAAAAAGTGCGATCGCTATATATATATATACCTGGATTTGATCCCCTATGTTGATAATGAAGGCATTTGGGACTGGCTTAACAGTGAGCCAACTACCCTTTCTACGGACTTGTAATCCAGCCACATTTTCATCAGGCAGGAGAATGGTCATTCCACCAGGGTCAGAGTGTGGTGAGAGACCTAGGGTGAGGTCTGGTTGAGGACACTGTGGATAGTAATTTACCCTCAAGCATCCACCAACGTTTTCCTCTCCACCAAAAGCATTTAGGAGGAAGTCTTCTTCCAGGCCAAGGTTCATAGAAAATGCCTTCATCAACTTTCCACCAAGTTTAATCACTTCGCGGCCATACTCAGCTACCAATTCCCTACAATCAACATGATCAAATATTTCTTAGCGGTTGTTAAATGAATTAATATCGTCAAATCGGTGATTATTTATTGATCATTTCAGCATGGACTGTTGAATTTTTTTATCTCCAATTTTTATTTTTTATGATATACATATATCCAAAAGCTACCATCTTTCCTTATATATATATATATATATATTTATCCAAAAGCTACCATCTTTCCTCACAAAAGGATGGACGATAAGAGCTGCTTAAAAAAAAAAAAAAAAAGATAGGAGTTGATGATATGATCATCGGAGCAAATACCAAACTTTTAGTCAAAAGAGTCCTACATCGTATCATACAAATAGACATAGCCTTTATGTATCTGGTAGTTTTTTTAAGAAAAATAAATTTGAATTATAGTGATTTTAGGTTATTTGATCATTATTTTATAAAAAATAATTATCTTCATTTTGTAGCCCAAAATCTATAGATAATTCTTATTTATTACAACAAGTGAACTCGCATCTTTTTCCTTTTCGTTTTTTTTTTTTTTTGTCCGATAAAAAACCTTGACCTACCTGAAGTCAAAAGGACATTATCATTTGGCATTTGTAGGAAAATTATTACGTTAAACAAATAAGCAAGTTCAATAAGAAAAGGGTGCCATCCAACATATATGCGTGGACGGTCAACTTGGTAATTATGTATTCATTATGTCCTCATGTAAAGGATGGTATTATAGGCTGTAGTTGTAAAGCAATTCTAGCTATGATAAATTAAGATCCTGCTGCCAAACTTCCTTTTCTTCCACAGTTCTGAACCTAATTGGATACAATCCTTGGATTGATTAATTTTCTTTTATGTTAATTCGTTCTATCATGGTCCATTATGTCTCATAATTCAAATCATTAAATTGAAACGAGAAAAAAGAGAGAGTTAAAGTTCGAGAATTAAAATAAGTTATGCACACCGTTAACTGATCAAATTGCTAATGACTTGTCTTGCCGTGTCTACTTTGGCGGGCTAAATTAGAAAGTAGCTAGAAAGAAAAACAATTGCCAACAGCCATTATAAGGGGAAAAAAAATTTAATGATTAATTAAAATGAAGAAAACGGGAATATATATAGTCAAAGAATACGAAGGAATACAGACAACATGGGGCTGCAGGCTGCTATGAGAAATAGAGATGCATGTATACCTGCAAGAGGCTGGGGTTGCAGGCCACTTGTTCCGATTTCTCAGCGAAACAGGCATATAATGAAGGAAGAAGTAATCACTCCAATCAAGAATTGCTCCCTTCTCTACTCCCAACCGGCTACCATACCCCTCATACGTAGCAGGATTGTTAGCATACTCTTGCTTCACTTCTGCTGGCATGTTAAAGAAGTCACGCCAAACCTCACGAGTCCTTTTCATCAGTTCATGGCTAACACCATGGTTCACCACCTGAAAGAACCCCCATTCACGGCAAGCACGGTAGATAGAACGGAGGGCCTGGTCGCGGAGGCGTTGGTCGTCAGAGAAAACGTTTTGAAAATCAATAACAGGAATGTTCACCTCCTGAGGTAGCGAAAAATCATTGTTTGATAAAGGTCTATGAGATGGTGGCTTAATATAACGCTCTGGGATTGCTCGGATACCACTTGCTGCTAAAGATTGGACTCGAACCACAGGTTCAGGCCAACTTTGCAAGCAGTTCATCTTTTCTTTTTGGCTAAGGGAAGGAAGTAAGATAAAGATTGGAATTTAATTTCTAGTGTCAGTCTTGTTGGTGCTGTTGGTGGGTGAAGGTGACGCTAATTTGATTGATTTATAGCAATAAAAAGAACGTGTAAATTATGGGATATGAGAGACAAGGTGAGATGGAAGTTGTTGTTTGGTTGTGTAGTATTGTAGTGTGTGAGGAGTGAAGTGGGATTCCTGAGGCCTATATATAGAGATTTGGGGTGGACTAATTTCGGCGCCGTGATGAACTTGATTTGTTGCTCATTGCCATATATAAAGTTAAACAATTTCATCACCTTTCTCTCTCTTATTAAATATATAGTGGCATATGTGTGAGTTCCTTGCAAAACCGTTCTTTTTCTTCATTGATTAGCTTTGTCATTTCATACCAGTCCAACTATGGATAAAATGAAAGAATAGACTAGTGCAAAGGCATGCTTAATCATGTGTCAAGCCTCACCACCATTGATTAACATGGTTGGCTGGTTGAGAGAAGATATAATATTGTGGATATACAGATTAATTAACAGTAAGTGTGTTTTTGTGCTAGGCAAGGAAAAGTTCATTTTGACTAAATATGTCCAATTCAAAGAGGTTTTCTATCCACGTGTCTTGTCGGGCTATAATATTAGTGGCAAGTGGCAAGTGAACTTCCTGGCATCTTGTCATCTAGTGCGAGTCGAAGCAGCTTTGATATCGCTAGCTTCCATTACCATATGACCTTGTCACCTAGTATTGTCAAATGGCTTAAATTGTTGGGCAAAAGCTAATACCATGGGAATATAATTAGTGCAAATTATCCAAAGGCTTCCATGTATCTTGTTCTCATGTGTGTGTGTGTGTGTAGAGAGAGAGAGAGAGAGAGATATGTAGCCTTTAATTTTATCCGAAAAAGGAAAGGAGATAACTCTTTAAGTGATAGCATGGCCATATGTTAGCAGGACATGCGCCAATTAGTTTCCGATCCTTGTCTCTAGGAGAATAGTCAAGTGCCCTACTTATCTCTTGGGAGGCAGCACTGATAGCATTTTTGGTATTTTATGTAAAGGACAAGTTAAAGGAAGAGATCGACAATCTTAAAGCTTCTGATCGACGAGGTTAGGATGGCAACTTGCATGTGCGATCGAATTCATTTCTTTATTTAACACCTCCCTCAATGACAATCAATAGAATTCACCAAAAAAATAAAATCATGTTTTGTTTCCTGTCACCATCACGTACACCCCCAATTATAAAGATTCTTTGTGAACTCACTCAAGAACTATGATGTAATTAATTTAAAATTAACTATGTAATTTAAGACTTCTTTCTAAACAGATTTTGGGAAACTAATCTGGCTAAAATTTAATAAGACAGATTCTGCATATACGTTGTCAATAAATGTTGATTGAAAAGTCCATTAAAAAATTGTTAGTTTTAGATACTAAATAGAAAAATATAATTCTTTAAGGACTAAGTTGAGAATGGTTATATTGTTGGAGTACTGATTTGAGATTTAACCCAAAGAACCACTCTACGGACTACGGGCATCCTCGAACGATGTTTATTTACATGACTCAGTTTTTGAAATGCGCAGTTCAGCAGTGCTATTTACGCACTAAAATATTTGTTCACAACTATTTTTAAGGAATAGTAAAATCAACTTCTTCTTTTTTTTAAACAAAATAATGAATTTAATTTCGATTATATATATATATATATATATAATGCAAGTCACATGTGACATGATGTGCTTCTCGAATCTTCATCACAATCAATGGAAAACCCAATCATTAACAGAAGAATCAAATTCAAAAACAATATTTATTGAGTGGAGCATGATTTAAGAATTTTAGTTGATCACAGGAAATCCCATAATAATTGTTATTCTATAGATTCATGCATGCTTGCCAAACTATCTTGATCAAGTGCTCAATTTTAGGTTTGATGGAAAATGCATGCGCTAAAATTCGGTTGTCAAAAGAGTGTGAAATGCAACTGGCCATAGAAAAAAGGAAGACAGAACGAAGCCGACAATTAAACTTAGATACTACTATTCCATTATTGGCAAAAGACGAAAAAAAGAAAAATACTTGTCACAACAAAAGAACTGGCAAGTCAGCCGACATGAAAAATATATATACATGGGATATCTATGGATCTTTTAGTAAATTATAAATTAGTCCATTTAATTTTAAGAAGCAAATTAATTAGTCTCTTTCATTTCAAAATTAATTTTATTTAGTCTTTATGTTTTTATATATACTTGTAACTTCATACTTTTTGCTATCTTTTTTTTTTTTTTTTTGGTTTTTAAAGAAAAAAATAGAAATAGATAAGTAAAAAATATAGAAAGATTATGAGAAAATAAAATATTTTTCTGAAATAAAGTAATATTAAAATAAACCTAGTTAAAACTGGTTAAAAGATAAATAATAATTTTTAAAATAAGAAAAATTAATTTATAATTTACTCATGTATCATTTTGGGCCACAACAATTAACCTCCATAGTTCGAAACTAGGCTCATCTCAAGTCATGCTAGTTTATGATGGATGGATCGCCTTGTTTCTTAGAAAGATTTTTGTACTCGTGGTACATGAAAGCTAAAAAAATCTTAATTATTTAAGGATGGGATTGAATTTAGATAATTTTATATCATGTATCGCATTTCGTATAAGCTGATTAACATTCGTGGTTTAATAAAAAGAAAAATTCTTGATTAGACAACTTTATAGTCTATATACACAAAAATCAAGAAACACTCTAGATTTTAATAGTTAAATGAAGGTTATAAGTTGAGCAATATAGAGATGTGTTTCTAACTCATTACGTTATAAATTCGATTTTTATTCATAAAAAAACTTTGTTATGTTCTTTATATAACATTAGACATAGAATACTGATAAGTCCAAAAAAATAATCGAGCCTCTAAAAATAATCAAATGCTAAATATCATCTGGCACTAACCTAGCCCAACAAATGAAAATCAAGTTGATATGATTTTACTGATTTTAAAATTTCAACTCAACTAGATCAAATTTTTGGAAAAATATCAGTTTTGGGTGCTTTGATCAATTTAAGGTTTCAAAAAGCAATGTTCTTTAAAAATTTATTTTAATATAACAGAAAAATTGGAAAAAGTAATCAATCTAATAGATGGCACACACTATGTAACTGTAAGTTTAATTTCGAAAAAGATTTTTCCCGTAGTTTTAATATTTCAAAAAGGAATAAAAAGAATGCATTAGAAAAAGTTTTCGCCGACTGTGTTCTTAAACATGTATAAATTAGGAAGTTAGTCACCCCAATTTTGATTTTTGGATTTCGAAAACTCATGCATAAATGATGATCTAACAGAATGTTAAAATTCTTAAATTGCAATGCATGTGGTAACTATTCATGAATTAAATAATTGAATATAAATTTCATCCAAAAACAAATTTCATTCAAAAGATTTAACTTTTTTCCACAGATGATTCATTTTCAATCTTTTATATTGCTTTTCATTCTTATATTTAAAATCACATTTCATTATTATTTTTTTCAAAAATATCTATAAATCTATTTATAATGTCTAAAATTAATGTTGGTTGATGTCTGTAGTTCAAGTCTAGTTATTGGGTTCTAAGAAAAAAAGAAAAGAATATCTATATCTAATTAGTTTATATATATATATATATATATATATATATATATATATACTATATACTTTAATTATGTTTTGGTCCTGAACTTTTGATATAGTTTCAATAAAAGTCCTTTTATTAGATATGAGTGGATATGCAAGAAATAATGTTTTGTTTACCAAACACTCTACATGACAGTTTATTTATATATCCATTTTATTAAAAACAATAAATAATGAACAATTTCCTTCATGAGGATCTTGAATAAAATTATATGCCCATTCATGATACTTGATTAGAAAATTGTTAAACTAATAAAATCAGATACATGAACTAATATATACTTTTTATGTCTCAAAGAATTTGTCCATTTTTTTATTTTTTTATTTTGAGCTGTTTCCAAACTATTGTCTGTTATTAAAAAAAAAAATCAAAGAGTTAATTACTTGATTATATTGGTGATTATAGCTCACTTTAATTTTTCTAAATCAATTTCTCTCTTTATTTATATTCAAATGAAGGATAAGAGTGTAAAGTTATTTAAAAGCAGATGGCATGACATGTAATTAGTTGCACTTTCTTAATTTATTTGAAAGATCAAATGAGACTAATAGTTTATGAGTAATTAAGTATTAGGGGGTGTTTGGTTGGGCATTAAAGAGGGTTATGTTTTACAAAGGTAAAGTTTAAGGTTGTTGAGTTTTTTTTTTAAATTATTATTAAGGGGTGTACTAAGTTCCCTAAATTGCTTTTTAATCTCTCCCTTTTTTTCCTTAAAATAAACATTAAATTAATTTATAATTATCTTTCACTAATCATCATTAACAATTTAATTATTTTCTACTTCTTTCCATTAATACTTAACCTTTCAATTTATCAATACACCAAAAAATTTTAAAAACCGATTTTTATATTTTAAAAAATTTCTTTTTTAATAATCACTCATGTAACAATTTATTTTTTATTTTTTTTAACCTTGTACCAAACACGATCTTATAGATAATGGCAAAGTAATGCTTTATGGGAAATGGTAAGGCAAACAAAGCATATGAATTATGAACGACTGTGCGAGGGAGAGATTTGAGTGTGTGTGGTAAAAGTCCAAGACACAGAGTGTGGCCGACATCACTGGAGCGTTGCCGAACTTAAAACTTTAGCAGTTTTACATCACGTGGCAAACATTGGCAAAATCCATAACAGTGAAAGTACATGTGCGTCGTGACATAATCCTATAGGTGGTGACCGCATCCTTCCGGAATTATTACTTTTGGTTTCGGTAGATTTTTCCTTTTTCCAGGTCCACCAGAGCTGGGTGTTTTGCACAAATAATATGCTTTTCAATATTATTTGCTTGGTTTTTTTTTTAAAA